AAAGGGACCTGAACAGCTTTCAAATGCATAAAAATCCTGCTGCAAACAAAACTCCTTTTCACAGTTACAGTGGGGAGGATAAGAAGACACAGGCTTAAACTGCCTTAAGAAAACTTGTGTTAGATATTAGGAAAAACCTCAGACGCGAAGGATAATGATGCAAAATACGCCACATACAAAGGTTATGGGGATTTACCACTGGAGGCTTTCAGTAAGAGGTTAGAAAAATGTCTTTGGTGCAAGAGTTTAGATATAGTGATGTTGTCTAAGGAGGAAGAGGAGTCCAGATAAAGGATTTTTAGATGTCTTCCAGTCCAAATTTTCTGTGATTTTCCTGTGTACAAGTTATTCCTACATTTACCTGCTTAATTTTCCTTTTGTGTACCTCAACAGTTAATTCGAGACTTGTTGGAAGGAGCACATATCAAGCCTGAGGCACATGAGACTTTATGTGGGATAAAGTCAGAGGCAGTTGGGGAATTGGGAGCAATTCCTTTATTATGAAAATTTACACATATGAGTATTGCTAACAAACCCAATGTAAATAGGTAGAATAGTATTTAAGGACATGAATATTTATCATAATTTTCTTTTTTTCAAATGGGAAATTCAAAGCACAAAGGTCTGAACCATCTGTAATGACACAGCATGTTGTCAAAATGAGCCTGAAAAATGGATTTCCTGGCTCCTCAAGTGACCTATCTGAGGGACTACATGCTCCTCCTGCTCTTTCTCCCGTCTCTGCCTCCTTTCCCCCCAGCAAGCTGTGCAAGACTACAAGAACTTCAGCATTTCCTCATAAAAGTCTTTTGCCTGCAGTTGGGGGAAGTTAGACACTACAACAGTGTCGGTACCTTCTGCTGTAACAAGAGCACACATCACAAAAATGATCATTACCACAGGGAAAAAAACCAAAAAACTAAAGTTGCCTCAGGACCTACACCTTTCAGAGATGTTCTTGGGCTGATAATCCCCATCTGCTTTCTTTACCTTGCCTTTATTCTGGGTAACATTTGACAGAAAGACTCTATTCCTCTACCAAGTGAGTAGCTATAAAAATACAAAAAAAGACACTGCTGATAAGGAAGAGAATTGCTCTTTATACAAGTGCAGATGAATCCACAAGCAGTTGCAAGCGAAGCATTGTTGCTCCAGCCCACTGTGGAAAAGGAGCAGTCTAGCTCAGCACTTTCTGGGCTCTTTCCTAAGGCTGCTGTAACTTGAACTTGTAGGAAATCAGAACCAGAGCCCAAGATTAGAACCATAAACCTCTGGTAACAAAGTATTACAAAGCCAGTGCCAGTCCTTCTGCACTACCACTTACAAGCCCGCATAGGCTCACTTCCATTTCCTACGTGCCAGGGCTGGAACCAAAGGAGGACCCACACTTGAATCATCCACAGGAAATCCTGCCTCTCAAACTGACCATGCCGAGGCACACCAGGCTCCAAATTAATTCTGAATTAATTTCCAAGAACTCTTCTAGGCTCTGAGCCACGTACATAGATTAAACATAATTTGGATTCATCATTACCAGTAAAACTAAAAACTAATTAGAAGAATTAAAGTGTAAGAATAATGAATAAAAATATGTCAGGAATATAAAAGTCAGAAATGTCTCCAAAAAGAATAAAAGTTAATGTTTTAATTAGTTGTTTTCTCAAAAGAAAAAAAAATAATAAAAAAAAAGACGCTCCTGCATCATTAGAATAAATATTACCAGTCTTTATATGCTTAGGTATTTCCTGGCTTATTCCAATGGCATATTTAAATTTTGATTTATAAATCAAGGGATATTTCTCATTGCCATAAGATGCATTCCACTGTGTCTCAAAGTCTTTAGCAGATCCCCACTGTGTGTACTTTATCCTGATGGTTTCACATTCATGTTCATCAACACTCAGCAAGAACCATAAACAAAGCCCTTTCTCAGATGCACACATGCAGTTCCCATTGACTTTGCTGGATTTTCAGCTGACTTCAATCAGAACTCTGTGCATGCAGAAGGGCAAAACTTGGCTCTGCATATTCAATAAAATTACATCACTAGGTACCTTTTAAATGAAGGGCAACGTAGGCCATACTGAAAAATAATATAAACTGAAACCCCTAAACTGTAGCCAAATAAATTCAAATTTCAGCCAGGTTTTTCCAGAATAATAAAAAGGGCACGCATTTTGGGCAAGATGAAATGAAACCCTAAAACCATCTCATTTACCAGAGTGCACTCTGCCTCTTTTAGCAGGATAAAGTGTGAAACCCAGGTATTTACACAAGGTGATGTACTTGTTGTTTCAGGTATAGCAATGACATTGGCATCTGAAACAAAAAAGTAAAGGTCAAGTAACAAGCTGTGATTTGGTAAGTCCTTTTCTGCAGCTGTATCCTGGCCCTGTAAGCTATGACTGTAATTACAAGTGAATTTGAAGTGTAGAATACCACAGTAGAAAAAGTAATTAAGCATTATATTAATAACTAATATCGTATTATTTTTGAATCTACTCTAACAGTGGTATTTTAAACATATTAAATGCTTGACCCTAGGAGTATCCATCTTGAGCCCTTCAACCCTCCTTTCCAACTTGCCAAAAGAACAACATAACAAAAATCCCACACAACCTAGTAAAAACAGTTCCCTTCCAAATTTCAAATGACATCGTGTAACACAATTTCTGCCAGATACATTAGCTAATGCACACTAAGCAAAGCAATGCCCCATGCGTTTTTTCCAAATTTCTTTCCTTTATTTTACCTTTACTCATTCCATGATGTAACAACCCATACCTTTTTACTGCATCTTTAAAAATATCTACCTACTAGGATGAAGAGTATTCTCACTTCTAAAAAACCATCTAACAATGGTCTTCCTCACACTTTCTGTTTGTCTGATAAGCGCTTGTTAACTTGCAATTACAAATTTATACACAGAAGCCCTCAGAGATGAAAACCACACAGGAGACTTGATGTTCATGTTTGGTCATCGCCCTCTGCCCAAAGTAGAAACATCACTGATGATTTTCACAATTAAATAGCAGAACAGATTTTATGAATATTTTTTTCTTCATAGCTGGAACAGCCCTTATTCTCCACTACATTGTAATACTGAGTCACTTTGCATCAAGTTGGTCATTACTGACAAGCCAGGGAAGAAAGGAGGGAAGTGGACGAAGTGCTCTGAAGCTACACGTGCGATAGGGTAGGTATCAGGTTGCTCCTTGAAGCAAGTTATTTAAAATCAGAAAAAAATCATTACAATACAGCTCACCTAAGGGAAAACAATTTAATAATTATTGAGAAAGTCCAGTAAATCTAACATTGGTGGTCAAAGGGATTGCAAAGATTTTTTCTTTCCTTTTCTTTTTGTAAGTGAAGCAAGAGTCTAGCCTGATACAAATGCTGAGTTGTACTGGTCATTCACACCAGACTATCCAGTAAATTAAATAATTAGTATTGTGGAATCTTTCTCCTAAACTATGGCACTGTCACATGAATAGTTATGAGGTCTGGTGGGGCTCTGCTCTCTCAAACCAGCTCCCATCCTGACATTGGTGGCCTGTGAAGACACTCATTTGTCTCAGAACTCCTTCATGTAACTCCAGGTCTACTTCCTGTTGTCTCTGTTGGAGCATGAGCTTAGAGGATTTACAATGTGTTATGAAGAACATTTATTCTAGCTTAAACTCTGTGATTCTGACTATAAAATCGGAAAAGGAAAGGTATCCCCATCTCTCCCCTCAGTCCTACTGGGATGCGACTGTTCCAAGGAGAAAGTTTTTAGGTTTTTTTTTAAATGCGTAGCATGTCTGTTTGATGATGAAAATAAAATTCTACATGATCATTTTTCAAGAAAGTTGATTTTTAAATATTTAAGAAAGAAAATAAAAACCAACAAGACAGACAGGTCACAAACTTGGCTTTTTGGCATGTCCTGTTTAAGCAATGACACATGAAGAACTTTATGTTCGAACAATTACCTGGTGCTTTAAATAGGACACTAAGGGAATAATATTTCAAAACGTATTCACACAGCATGAGACTAATCCTCCTCCTGGGAGTACCAGTGCAAATCAGAGTAACTCCTCAGAGGTCAATTGAAGTACACCAGCACAAAATAAATGTGAGACAGAAAGGAATCAGGCCCCATCTACCTCTATTTTAATGCAGAGGTTGCAGATCATCTGCAAGGATAAAGTGAACAACATAAATATAACTGACATCTATTCAATTGATCTCACATCCTGCCGACTATTCACAGCTCCAAATACAGGGCTGAAGAACAATGGTTTGAGGAAGGCAGGCAGAAATCCGGGTTCTAACCCATTCACACATTCCAGTTTGTTAATACCTCCCACCTGAACTATCTTCATCTCCTCACACTGCTAAATCATGGAAGGTTTAATTTGACATTGTCCCCCAGCTCCTAAAGAACAACTTCTCCTAAAACAAAGTAAATGAAAAAATACCAAGAGAGATACATGGGAGAGAAGACAAATATAAAAAATATGTGCAAACATGAGAACCTATGGAGAAACAATTAAGAGAGTATCTGTCTAACACACCACATATATATGAAAGGTACTGGCAAATTGATTAATTATTTGGAAACCTAGCACTAAGAAAGAATGGTATGCGTGCAGGGGAAGACTAAAATATGAGGCTATTTCAAACTCTGGTGTCATTTGTGCTAATTTAAGTGGATCTGTAATTATTTCCTACAACTTCACGATGTCCTGAACCAGCTTTCTCCTCCCCTGCAAGGCTGATAAAAGGACTCCTGGCAACACACTAAATATATTATGCAATGTATTGAATACTACCGAGAAAAAGCACTGAATTACACAGAAACAAAGAACATTAGGTGCGAATATCACCACCTCCAGGGAAAGAGCACCTTGAACTACTTACCACATCAGTAAACGCAGCATTACAATTCTCCCGTACCTCTGCTACCTGCACCTAACAGCATTCGCTACGCGTAACAAACTTAAGGCGAATTTTACCTCAAATCTACTTAGGCTCGAGCTCTTTGACCGGGACTTCTTGCGGAGATAGACCGAGAAGAAGCGGCGCACTGTGAACTTCTTCATGTTCATGTCCATCGCCCTGTCCCAGCGGCGGCGCGGAGCACGGAGGAGCTGCGGCGCCGGCGGAGAAAGCTAGCGCATCCCGATTGCCTATCCCTATTTATATCCACAGGCAGGAGATCCTCCGAAGCTCCCGGTTTTGTTCATCGAGCCGGGCACAGCTAGACCCGCCGGAGGTCCGGGGCAGCCCGCATCCAGCCGCCTGCTGCTCGGAGCACGAAGGCGCCGGGCTCCCTCTCGCCCCGCACTGTTTACACTGGGGAGCGGCCAGCCCAGCTCCGTCCCCGCCGCCCGCCGCCCTCGCCCCCGGTGCGCGCAGCGGGGCTCGGCTCGGGCTGCACGCAGAATCAGCGCCGGCACATGACAGCTCCTGCGTCCCGGGCGTAGCAGCTTTCAGACAAATATTGGATGTGTCTATTGCTCTGCGCTCCCTCTCCTCTCAGTCAGGCTCTTTCAATTTCCTGCTTTCTGAATCACATGGGGAATAGGCACATGCTGCACTTCTGTTTTTAGCTCAGAATTCAGACGCTGCTATAATTACTGAGGGCTGTGGTGGTCAGAGCCGAGAAGAAATCGGCTCCCCTGTGAGAGTCGCTACTGGAAGAAAGCTGAAAGATGTCGTGCCCCCACTGCCAGAATAGAAGGGTTTGAATCTCCTTTTATTCCGAGGAGTATGCAAAATAACACCGTTCCCCCCCTCCCCGAAATCGAAAAGCTCACCATCCTATTCACAATCACCCACCCGCTTTACATTGAAATACCTAACGCTGGCACAGCTCTGAAAATAGAAAGCACAATCTAAATGGTAAGTATTACTATTCTTATTGTACTACAGCAGGGAGCTACAGCCCTTCCAGGAGGTTAAGTATGTACATCTATTTACGGGCTGTAATTTTGAGCTGCATGGCAAACGTGCAGACTTACAGCTGCACCCCCACCTCCCCACAATAATATCTCATTTTTCAGCTTTTCTTCAAAAACTAATGAATCTCAGTGTGTTCCAGAGACCAAAGAGCTTTCTCTGCCTATTGCACACAGTTCAGGCTCCTTTTCCATAGCAGCTTTTCCTTTCTGACTACTAAGGAGCACCCAGACATGCCTTTCTCCCATAACCTTACATGAAAAGGGAATTACCCTGATGACTTATTAATAACTGAGATAAATAAGCCCAAGGAGAGTGGACATCACTACAGCCTGAGAAGACTTGGAGGTCAAATGACAACACCTCTCAAGTCCATCTGCTCTAAAAGAGAGGTACATTTTGCTTTGCTTGCATATCTGGGCTCTGCTGTGAACTACCTTGGCTAGCAATACCTGTCAGTATCTGCTTTTTTCTCTGTTCCATTCCTCTGCCTAAAGCTCACCATGGTCTGTATGTACCCAGAGAAGTATTAACAGGAAAAAAAGAAGAAAAATAAAAATAACAATAATTTAATAATTGGCATTTATGGTTTCATTAAAAAGAAGGTCAGATTGGAAAGGCTGCCATTAGTGCTGGGTTCTGTAATCTCACAGGGCCTGACTCTGCTATGCCTGGACCTTGGTGTTGCCCCAGCCAAAGGTAACTGTTCATGGTGACAGTCTGGATTGTCTGCTTTTTCCTTGTGCCTTCTCAGCACACCTTCTGATTGCTTCTCTAATTCTCTTGGTTTGCAACAAAAATACCTTTGGGGGTTGCTTTCGCTGTGCTGCCCCAGTGCAAGCCTATGTCAAGCCTAGGAGCCCTTTGCTATTACAGTTCCCTTGTTTCCCCAGCTAAAGATCCTGGAGCAGAGGCAGGTGTCCAAGAAGAAAACCTCAGGTATGCATAGGTACACCTATACACAGGCAAAACAATTAATAGGCTAAAGGGCAATTTAGCTGGCCAATGCCAAAATTACTTGCTGATGCAGCCTCTCTAGTCAATTTTTGTGCCTCCTCACAACCTTGCTGCAGTAAAATCTGCAGTGTCACAAAAGCCTCAGGCACTCAGCTGATTACTTGACCTCCCCCTCACCTGTCCTGACACACCACACAGCTGCTTGCTGCTTCTTCTCTCCTGCCTTTTCCCTGGCAAAAGGTGTCCTGGCACAAGCTGGACCAGGCTTTGTGCTGGCAAAGGCTTTTGGCAACCTCACACATTTCCACCTGTGTAAACCACTTGAGCCTTAAATAGCAACCAGACAAGTCCAGGGTAAGGTCTCTGAACCCTTCCCGTCACAGATACATCCCTGCTCACTGACATCTTTATTAATGCAGAGGAGATGATAATTTCCCAGCTTTGAATACACAGGCTGTGCCTAATAATATGAAGTATATGAGTGCCTGTTACTATTACACTGGCAGATTTATCACAACCTTCCCTTCTCATTACATTAGTGGTGATTTCACACGCAGGGAGGTGCAGTCACCATTAAATGTGTCTGCACTATAATAAACTTCCAGTAAAATTACACAGGCCATGACTTAATACCTAACTATCAGATACACTTATTACATTCAGAATTATGTTCCTTACCACAAATTTATTATTTTTTTTTTAAATCCATCACAATATGTTGGCAATTCATTGTGCACATCAAAAACTAGCCTTGTATGCTAAAAGTTAGACTGTAACACTGAGCACCATGCCCATGGATAGGAAGTAACTCTCTTACATCCCTGACATGACAAAGGCATGGAAATAGGCGTGCTCTTCTTGTTTTCTTACTCTGCTTTCAGACAAATGATTAGGAATTAAATACAGAAGGACAACCAACCACCTTTGCTCTACGCAGCAGCAGAGATATTACAAAATACATTCCAACTTTTGCAAAAAAGCAAAAGCAACTGAGATGCAAAATCTACATAAAAAAATACAAGTGCAGAAATTAAACAAAATACAAATGCAAAATTAAAGCATAGGGATAGATATGTTAAAAGCAAATTCTACTACAGCTCCGTTGAACTTAACTTTTCTTCAAGACATTGAACTTAACTTTTCTTCAGAAAAACAAATAATAGACGTCAAAATAATTAGCTCAAACACTAAGACAACAACCATATTTCACAGTGATTCTAATAAAAAGGTGCAAGCCAAAAAATAAATTCAATTAAATTGGAACATTCAGCATAACATTTATAAACATACTAGTGTCAGATCAATCTACAACATGAAATATTAACTTTAATTAGAAATTTATGTCTTTAAATTATTTATTCTCTCTGAGCAATTTCAACTGCTGAGGAACTTGAAGGAGGAAAAAAACCCTCCAAATGTCTCTGTTTAAGACAACAAAAAACAACAAAAATGGTGGAGGGGACATACGGACACACTGGCATTAACCAGTAATATTTACCTGTATTCTGAACTATGCTTTTTAAAACTAGAATCATATATGCTGTAATACGAATTAAATAAATATAGTATCATGGCTGCCCCTCCTCCCAGTGAGCTTAACAGCAAAGTAAAGATTACTTCAGCTGGAAAAAGGCTTAAAAAAAATACCAAACCAAAAAGCTCATAGCCAGGATTCAAGACAAACTCTCCAACAGGAATCACAAAAATTAGATATTACATAGCCCAGGTTTGAATTTTTAAAAGATAAATGGAGAATTCCTAATTAATATCTAATGAAAGCCAAAGGTCCTTTCCTGATGTGTACAGATGGACCATACCAAGCACAGTAACAGACTGAAGGACCCAGGCTTAGAAAAAACAGGGGCAGCAGAACAGCCTGAACAGCACCCAAGTGAGAAGGATGCCAGTAGCCAATGCCAGATGAGTCATCAATTTCTAAATGATAGAACATGCAAGTCCAAGATATCTACCACAAACTGGATGATATAATTACCAAGAGAAATTTTGTATTACTGTATTACACAGAACATCAGGCCCTATGTCGAAATTAGGCCTTCTATTTTTTTATGTGAATCAACAATTTATGAGCAAACCCAGAATGACTCTGCTACTTGAGTAAATTCAGCGATCACTGTAGAAGTAAAAACTCTGAATTGATAGTATATTCCTTGAAAATGCTATCAGTATTACCAATCCTTCCTCAGTAAGACCATCAGAAAGCCAGAAAATTTCCAGAGAGTAATAAGAAAGCATCAGAAGCAGAGACACCACAGATAGAACAAATAAGATTATCAGAACACAACACGCAGAGAAAAGGAAAATGAGACTCCCACAGTAGAGGCCCAAGAGACAATGCTACAGAAAAGGTGAATTACACAGTGCCATTTATGCTCTTATCAAAGAAACTCAGGAGCAAGAGCAGATGTTTCCAAGAGACACCAATTAGCTGAATAAGGAACAACACTTTCCCCCCAGTGGTTAGATTGTATATGACTCTTTCAGTGACTGCTGTTTCCTCATCTTGAATGCTGGACAAATTGCCATTGGCTTTTGTTTCCTCAATGAATACGTAAGGTGGCTGTTTTTCTTATTGATGTTTGTTTCAATAATACATGACGGGCTTTGTCCAAAGAAGTGCTTGGGCTTTGCTTTCATTACACCAATGTACCAATGTGGGTCTCAGCCTTTCCAGCTGCTGTCCATAGTTAAGTACCTTGTCCGATTTAGCACACACTTACTTCACTGGAGTTTTCTCTCTCAAAAGGGAGCACTGCCCTGCCAGCACTGCAGAATACAGGCAGTGACTTGCCATCTCTCACCAGCATTGACAAGCCATGTTGGCTGGATGGGGATACAAGGGAATAGGGAGGAAAGAAAGTGCTTTTCCCTCTGTCTCTCACCTCCCAGCTGTGTACCACAGGCTTTAGTAATTTTGAATTTTGACTTTTCTGTATATGTGTTATTCCAGTGGAGGTGCAGGCCCCTTTCAGCCATCTTGCAAATTAAAATCACGGCTCAGAAGGAAGGAAAAAACAAAGTCATTCATCTTGTCTAACTGGGTCTGACAAACTGGCAGGACACAAGCTCCTTGGACACAGTCTTCTCTCATCCCAAGAAAAACAAAACAGCCCTAAAATGCCTGTTTAATCTTGCATTTGTAACCTCAAGGGAAAAGCAGAGTACCTCTTATACCCAC